GATAGGTAATGGGTAAGAATTATTAAACTCTTCCAATATTAACCATATCCTAGTGAAACATTTTTTTTCCTAGAACTATTTTTGCAGTTGTTATCATCCAGGTAATTTATCGTTTCATAACACCCTTTCATTAACGTTAAGTACTGTGTGCCAACTAATTGTTTTCACAAAGAATGAAAGTTTTGCTATTAATTTTTCCAGTTCTTTATTTTCTCCTGCTGCTGGTTCTTCTCCCTCTTCTATCCTCTACTGAATACGTATTTATTGCTTATTTTTGTCTTTTTTTTTTCTGCCCATTAATTCTTGCCACCAAGTTGTTATTTCCTCTGGAAATGTTACTCCTCAGTATTCTCCCAGTCTTTGTGGATTTTCCCACCTTTTGGTTTTTAATGATCCCACTGTTCCTGGAGGATACTGGTATATACCCTTAAATTTAGGAATCAAAAATAGTCTGCGAGTGGATTGGCTTAAAATAACCACATTTTCCTAAATTACTCCTGTTTGGAGAAAGACCAGGTGGCCTGGCATAGAGCTAACTGGAGTCACTGACCACTTCCCAGTTAACAAAAAAAGCTACAGTTCATGACAAATGCATGTACAGCTTATGTTTCTTTTTGTCTGGTATGGCACATATTGCTTTATTGGCCCTGTAAATTATCTCAGCTCTAGAAAACATCAGAAATCTAGCTGTGGAATGGTATATTAGTTGCTGACTTCCTCCAGCTGATACAAGGTACATCCTGCCTCATTGTCTAGATGTGAGGTGTAGCAGCAAATGCAGAAAGACAGATGGTTACTTGGCTACCTGAAGAAGGCTGAGTTACCAGGCAGAGACTATTTCTGTATCTGTAGTGTCAAATGAATTATGTCAGGCCTTCTGACTCTTAGTACCTATTGGAAAATATTTGCTTTCTCTCTCATAATTCTCCAAATTGTCTCATAGCAAAGAAAACTGTTTTAGGAGCTTTCTATTTTTCTTGTAAGTAGCCACCTGTATGTGAGTCCATTCTACAGTAACACAATTCTGCTCAAGGAGTTATCTTCCAACCCTTAAATACAGGCCTGTGTATTTTTACCTAAATAAAAAGAATATATGGCTCAGAAAAACACTTTTTTTCCAAGGGTAATTACTCAGATGCTTTCACAGACAACATGCTAGCTCAGCTTCTGTGCTACTCATCTTACAGACTGTACATACCTGACTGGCTGAGGGTCACAGGTTTTTTCTGTTCCCCACCCTCCCCCCAACCCAGCTCTCAAGGACATTGTATGAAAATCTGGTCTATAGAAAGCTATGCAAAACTAACTTAATCTAGCCAACGACTTCTATCCTGAACAAGTCTTGGAGGCTTTTAATAGCATAAACATTGACAGAGGAAATGGTCAAAATTTGGCATCACTTCATAGCTGAAGAAATTAAGCTTTGGAATACAATTTCACCTAGCAAGGTATGACTCAAGCGAGCTATAAAGACTGCTAGACACATCATGCTCTCTGAGAGATTTCAATATAGGATCAGAAGATAAAGATTAAATTCTCCTTGTTTCACAGATGTGAACAGTTCCTCTACATTAATTTTCAATTTCTTATAAATAGGAGGGGAATAGGGAAAAAGTTGGCTTACACGCATAGAGCATGATGACTGCAAATACATTAGGATTACTCTAAATGTTGAGAATTAACAGAAAAAAAATTATTCCAAACAGACATAGATATCAGGTTTCTAATAAAGTAATTATCCTTAAATTTGAAAGGAAATTGTAACAAAGGCACTGATGCACAGAATTTACCAAATAACTCATTTTACAATTATTTAAATGCCCTCTTTTCATACTACTGATTACCCTTCTCTGCTTTTTGGAGACAAAATTCCAGAACCAATCCCCAAAACAAGTCTTGATTTGGACAATTTTATTTGGAAAACCTGATTCCTAACTGCCACCAGTACCTGAAATGTTATCAGTCTTAGCTCAAGAGAAGTCTCACTGAAAAGCAACTGCTGCTCAGAGAATTCTAACCTTTTGCATAAATATAGGCAACTTTCACTAAGTTGGGACTGTAACATGATTTGGAAGCTGGTCTTTGTCTGGCAGAGGTTCCTGCTCACTTCAGAGCTGCTGCGAATACTTTGCCTTCTATCAAAGACATGGTTTTGAGGAGAGACACTGCTGCAGCTGGCTCTCAGCTTTTGCGGAGTTCTCAGCTCAGCAGGGGTTGGATTCCAGCAGGCAACTTGATTTCTTCTTATACAGTATAATCTCACACTTCCTGATAATCACCAAACTGATTTTACAATTGTGACAGTTCCCATCAGTGGCTTCTGACCTAAGATGATATATTCAGATGCCTGCAGGGACAAAGATGGCAAAATGGGAGTAGACCTGAGTGGCAGTATGGTGTATCATTACATACCCTCTGTCTTGGGCAATGTATTTTGATTTATGTGGAATTCATAATAAGCAATGTTTTATGTTTTGGCACCACCCAGAGCTAGCGTTGCTTACTGCTACAGTAAGTCTCTAAATAGAAAGGATGGTTCTGATAAAATGCTTTCCATGTAACTGTTGGTTTTAGTCCCTGTTTTTTAGAAAGTGTCTAACTGCAAACACTGGGGAAAAAGCCCTCAATTTCTCTTAGGCCTGCATGGATAGCCTTTTTTAAAATTGTGTTTTACCCCCTAGACTTTTTATTCATACTCCAGTGAGTTTTTTCTGCTTATGTAGCTAAACTTCCAATGTACTTAGTAAATGCTTTGAGTTTTGGGAGATAGAACCTAAAAGCAGGCGGGTGGTTACTTGTAACACTAGTTGTAGTTTACATGTGTAAGTCTCAAATTCATAGCTAAACTGGTATGTACAGCAGCCACCAAACCCTGAGGCAGTTTACATGTTTAAACTGAAACCTTTCCAGTCAACTTAAGTTGTGTATTGTGCACACGTCTGAAATCTCCATCAGCAAAAGAAGACAAGCAGTAAGTCCTGCTTTAGCCTACAAGAGAGAGAGCGCCACATCTGAAGGTTAGAGTTAATAATAAAGTTCAGTACAGCAGGGACTGAACAGCAAGGCTTATTACTGAATTATGTAGTTCCAAAAGGGCTAAGGCAGCAGCCTTAGCCAATATGGATGAATGGTTAATGATTAATAGTGATCTGCAAAAATTTGGCAACATTTATTTTCCTCTGTTAAGTTTTCTTCTTCCATTAAGTTTCTATTACGATACATTCACAGGATGGTATCTGTCTCTCTACACAGGTAAGGGAAAGAATTCTTTAAAGGCAGTCAGACAGGTCAAAATTTACTTAAGCTAAGTCCCTGTCTCATCTGATTTAAAAATCTGTAAAATGGCTAGTGAAATTAAATTAAAAGAAAATCTGATTTTCTGTAGTGATGTTCACAAGGTTGTTTAGCCCACCATATTAATATCCTTCATATGGATTCAATATTTAGAACTTTAACAAAGGTTGCATGCATGTAAAAATACATCTTTATATTTTTAGAATTCATGTACACTCACTCAGCAAGACTTTAAGCATTTAATTCTTTTTTACATACCCGTAATGTAATAGAATTCTTCAGACCAGATACTTCTCCATGACTTTAAATAGTATGGCTTTTTAATTGGTAATTTCTATCTACTTCATGGAAATGAAGGTAACAAATAAGCATAAATTCCCTTAGTGCATAAAAGATTTAGAAAACCATAAATGTATGTAATAAATATAAAGAAAGCATGTAGAAGATACAACGACCTATTCTTATGGCAAGTCAAAGACAAATTCTCAGCTTGGATTCCTCTATTTAGACTGAAGCACTTAAAAGCTAGATGCCTGACTCTGATATAATCAACCCAGCTTCTGTCTATCTCACTGGAGATAAATGGACATCACCAGAGCAGAACTCATCTCATCCTAGACTAAACACCTATGATATGTCAGACTTTTTGCCCCTGGAGATACTGATTTTTTTTTTTCTCCTGCTATACAGGGAGTCTAGGATGACTAGCTCAATTTGACAGCTGAAGTTAGATGTAATTTATCATGTTTTTAACTTCCTATCTTACCAATACCTTTTAACAATTTTACCTAAGGGTAAAGAATTTTTGAATAAAATATCAGAAAAAGCAAACTTCATTGTTCTTTGCATCACCCCCAGTTGTGTTTTGGGTTTTTTTTGTTTTGTTTATTTGGGTTTTTTTTAAATTCACCTGCTGAAAGCAATGTCAAAGTGTACATTTAAGAAACAGTGCCTATGAGCCTGAGGTCAAAGACACATTAATGGATAACCTGTGGAATGGACGGTGCCTTTACTTACTTATTTGTGTCCTCCTACACCAGTGCTTACAAGGAGTGGGGAAGGCAAAAACAAATTTCACAGGATTTGTACCTTCTAACACCAGAAAAACTTATCACAAACCCTGTGTGCTATGAAATTAGTGCACCATGGTGAACAGCTGATGATCATTTTGAACAGAAGACAAAGTGAATTTTTGATGCAAGATTCTGAAATTAAATTCAAGTGTGCAGTCCACACAACCTGTATCTTGAGCAGGTAGCCTTAATTTGCATAAGACCTAAGAAAATAAACAGATCTTGCAGGATCAGACAGGACTATTCACAGATGTATTATGTTAACATGGGGCATTTCACTTTTTATCTATGTAAAGCACTTTCTCTATTTTGCCTAGGTATTTTCCCTATTATATAATTTGAAAATTTTTAGAAGTGCAAAAACAGATCTAGAAAACATAGTTGCCTCCACCAATAAAAAAGATGACAGTCATACCTTTTAAAGTTTTCTGATAGAACCCGAAGAATAAATTCTCATAGGAAAACTAACTAAGGAAAGTTAAGATGAGCAAAAATAGAAAAGATACTGGGTTTAAATATTATTTTCAAGGAAAATGGAATAAAATAAATCTGGAAGATATTACATAGGTGAATTTACCTGATTCCCTATCTGCTTTGTTTATTTGAATACTTAAATACTGAAAAAATTCCTACCTTCAGGTAATCTTGCCATCATTTCAAAAACCTGATGTGTGTTCTTCCGACAGATATCTACTGGATCATCCAAGAGCTCACTGAGGGCAGAAATTACTCCATTTTGGATCAACCCTTGCCTACAAACAATATTGGAGGGCAGATTTAACTAAGCATAATAAAACTCCTATATTTCCAAGATGCTTAATCTTTAACTAAATGCTCTTATTTACATTGCATCTATCTTGCCAAAACTTAGAAATTCTGTTCTTATTTCTCACTGAAACGTCTTTATTGCTTCCCATACCATTCAGTAAACTCTGGAATTATGCCTACCTGCCAACAGTATGCATAGCCATTACATAGAGGATCTCTGTTGTTTTTTGTCGGACAGTACTGTCATGATGTAGTAGCAAAGTTTTCAGGTTATCCAAGAATCCTATGAGACACAACAGTTCATTTTAACATTTCTTACCTTCAATGTTAATTTAAAATAGCGATACTAATTTTTATCTCACAATCTGAAGTGCAAACAATAGAATTTTCATCTTGTCAGATGGTGAAACTCTTTGTTGTATCTCAAGTAGGGAAGAAACTTTCAAGTTTCAAAGCCTACTGCCAAAAATGCCATGCTACAAACAAGTTGCTGACTTCTGTATCAAGTTAAATCCTAATCTTGTAAATATTTATGAAGCAACATAACTCTAATAATAACTCAAGTCAGTGGAGCTACTGATGTGTTTAGAAAAGCATGTGTTTGCAGGATTGATGCCTACATTTTTAAAAACTTTCTTCAGGTGTGGCACGGGCTATGTAAAAACACAGCATTGCTTTTCACACATAGAAATAAATTTGGTGAACCATTAATGATTATATGTATACATACATAGCACTGACCAAAAAAAACCCCAAACAACAATCTTGCATTGCTTCAGCATTTACTGTTAATCAAACAGTAACTTAATAAATTTTGAACATGATTATTGGTATCTCTTATGAGGAAAAAGTAATGAAGTGAATGGAGAAAAAAACAGTGGCAAAATGGAGGACTACTTCAGTGTTATGTAATGAGCTGTATAGATACATAACAGACTGCTAAATATTATGAAGATAAACTTGTGTGGGTTTTATTTTCCTAAAATCCAAATTTAGGATTCTTCCAAGTGCTGGGATAAAAGCTTTTGAAAATAGTGGCCAGATATAAAGCTGATGAGTATGATAAATTTGGTTATATTGTCTTGTATCTTAATTTCTCGTAAAGTTCGTGTGTGTGTGTGTTACAGACTCAATTCTACAATCACTAAGATACTTCCGAGAAGGCGTTCTGCATAGAAAGCTCTGCTATTTGGTCTCTCCAGTAAAGTTATATCTGGATGTGCCGTAACATCCACTGCTGAAGGAAGCAGTGGCAAAAGATGACTTCATGGATTTTGCAAATGAACTTGTAAACCTCATTTAAATATTATTTTATTAATTAAAAGGTTAATCGGAGTTTTTTGCCTGTGATTATTATGGGATCTGATATGAGTATTTTGAGCACCTCAAGCTTGAAAAATCCAGGAAGGTGCCATGGTCATATGTCATACATGGTAGAAAACGTCTAATGAAGGAAGAAAAAAGGGATTTGCTTTTTTTTCCTGCTCTAGGATAACTAAAAGTTTTTTTCTTTTCCCCTTTCTAAATAAAACATATTTAGTAGTTTTATGTTATTAGAAATTAATAAATTCACTGCTTTGTTTTTTTCTGAAAGGTTCATGGATAACAGGATTAGAGCAGATTCCAGGCAAATTGAATTTAACTAAGTAGCATGGGGAGCGTGTGCACTACTTTTATATTTAGGGGTTGACAAAACCTATAGTGAGCCATTGATAAATCCTAAAGTGAGGACACTCTTAAAATAACTGTCATGTATATGGCATTACAATATTATTTACCTTTTTAAGGTAAAACATGTAGAGATTAAAAAAAAACAAACTTCATGGCCATTTTGTGTCATCAAAGATGTTGCAAGGAAAAAAGTAGCATACAAAGTAAAGTGTTTCCCCCCCACACTGTGCCAAAGCTTATGACAACAGATCACTTACCTACTTCTATTGCCTGGTAGACATTTTCTGGGTCATGGACCAGATCGCAGAGCGCCATCAATGCCTGCTGCTGAGTCAGCAGCTCAGGAGACTGTAACTCCTCATTCAGTTTAGGAAGGGCCCTCCTTCCAAATGCAATAGGAGCTTTTGTGGGATCTATATCAGGTGGGAGTTTGGCTGAGATACGAGCATGTGCCATTCCAAATTTTCCTGGGAAGGATTCTCCCTTATCCCTAAAAATACTCCAAAATGGCTGTACCTGGTGATTGGACAGATAGTGTACCAGAAAGACAACTACTGGCTTTAAACAATGTTCTGTGTCCCAGAAGAGCTATTTTAGCACGCATTCATTGTTAGGAAGTTATGAAAGAAGAGGCTGGAATGGTTCATGGTTATCAGCAGTAATGTCTGTTCATCAGCTGAATCCTCGTGTCTGGTTTAATTCTCTACTAAACACTGTTTTAAAGAGAGAGTGGAAACACTTAAAATTGCAAGGTGAAGGAGGGAATGTTTTTCAAAGGGTTAAAGTGAAGTAGTCTAATGTCCCAAACCGACGTTTTTCAAAAAAACATTCCTTTAAAAGGGGTCTAGTTTAAACCCGCCCTCGGAATTCGTTAACGTTTAACGGAATCGGTGATGGCTGACCTCCCTCTTCCCTCAGTAAGGAAAACGGCTCAGCTGACAGGAGCGTACAACCTCAATATCGAAAACTGCTGAACAACAAAAAAACCACCCAACCAACACCCAGCCCCCCCAGCTGCAAAGTTAAAAGAACTGCTAAACTGCACCTCTCTCTTCAGAACAAATGGAATAGACTAAATAACCAAAGGCGCCCTGTCCCACCAACATGTCGCCGCCTCAGCCCGTCCCCGGTTCCCGCTCCACAACTCCTGCCAGCTACGCCGCCGCATTTCGCGCCCGCTTGCTCTGGTTGTCACAGCAACCAGCTCTTTGCGTACGCCCCCCTCCGTGAATAAAAACTACGCAGCCATGCATACTGACTCCGGCCCTGCGTCAACAGCGTAAGTGCCGCACTTGGCGGTGGCTGCTGTGAGAGAGTAGCGTCAACGGCGTAGTTTGCGAATGCGAAGCTGGGGCCGTTGCTAGCGCGGAACTCGGAGCGCTGCGGGCCGGGCGGCTGAGGCGCGGCCCCTGAGGGAGGGGAGCGTGTGAGGAAATGGGGGAAAAGCCGCCCTGGGGTTGCAGTGTGGAGGCCGTTTTACCCCGCTTCTCTGCTAAAGCATTGGAGGGAGGCTCTCTCCTCACCGCCTGTTTTTAAAGTAATCTCAGTTGAACAAAACTGAAAAAAAATTCAGACCGAACAAAATGGTGGTCGAGTTAATGGCAGAGAGAGAGCACGTGAGTGCCTTGAGGTACAAGGATTGAAGGGAGCTCTGTAGCTTTGGGCTACGTTTTCTGTCCTAGTCTTCTCCAGAATGTCACTATAAACAGCTGGAATGTGTGCCAGGGGTTCCCATCATCATTAGGTAGTTTCACATGACTGTATTAAAGACTTAGACATCTTTTTCAGTATGATTCTGCTAAAAAGTACAGCGCTGTTCAGAGGACGATACACAGGGAGAATGTATCATTGCAGTGTTGCTAGCACAACTCAAGGGTGCTCTGGATTGTCAGATGTGATCTGGCATCAGGAAGAAAACTCTGAACAGCTTGTGCTATAAAAGGTTAGTTCTCTGGGCAAATAGAAGTCATTGAGATGTTTTTCATTATGTTTGAGTAACAATTATAATAATCAAAGTTCTTAAACTGGATTTTACAAAGCCAAGGTAATTCAGATCAGCTGGATTAAACCACAGGAATAGATTCTGGTTTGTTGATCTTCAAAATCTATAAAAGAAAAATTACTACTTTAAAAAGTATTTTCCGGAAAGGATTCATTTTTCTGCAACTTTTTAGAGCAGATTATTTAAAGTAGGCGTTATTTTCCTGAATTAGATTAGACTTCCACTAACTGTGTATTTGGAAAGTTTTGCCCTTTTTCAATAGGAAGAACATGAATTTTTCTCAGTGTAGAAGGAGCAGAGGAAGATCAGAAACTTCACTTGCCCTTCAGTGTTAACTCTGTTTTAGTTCTTTTGGCGAGAGCTGCTTTGTCTTGTCCTTCAACATAGCTTGGAATACTGATTTTTGTTAGGGATCATGGTGTTAACTTATTTCATGTACAGCTTCTGAATGCCTTTTTCAAAACCTCTATCTATCTACAGAATCTGCTGGTGATATTGTTCCCGCAACATTGATGTAAGGAGGGTTGTGATGCCATGGAGACACTATATTCCCAGTCCTCCCTGGTGACTGAATCCCCTTCAGCTCTGTAAGATAAAATCCAGATCTCAGTACTGATCATTCTCAGTATTTTTAGCAGCTTTCGATTTCTTAAATCATTGATCTTTTTCTTCTACTGGTGTGGCTAATTTGTTGATTTGGTAAATTGGGGTATGCTGGTGTGTGTGAGATTTAGATTAAACACATTACATGTAAGTGAAAATGGCTTCCCAGTTTTAAAACGTTTCTGTTTGGTTGCCTTGGTCTGTCCTGTATTCACTGAGATTGTTGAATTGATTTTTCTTTTTTTTTCCTGGTAGCTTAGTTTGTGGAAGAGCTCTAGCAGATGAGCACTGAGTCAGCCTATGTACACATGACATTTTTACATTCTTAGGCTGTGTTGAACTGGAATTAGGAGAATATGGCAAAAGCAAGTTAGTGTTTGAAACTCTTACCAACTGGCAGGGGTTTTGTTTTCAGAACTGTTATTTTAAGACATAAACATTGCCATAGAATCATTCAAACTTGCCAAAAGGGCAGTACTGCACCATAAAAAGGGTCTAGATCTCTAGTTTTATAGGGTCACAAGTAGCATGATAAATAGAACTATGCATATAGTAATAAATAAATACCATAATATCACCTTCTTTGGTGGATTCTTTGGGGGGAAGTGGGTGTTTCAGCATGGTTGAGGTCACGTGAGTGCCTGAAGTGATTTAAAAGCAATTCCTCACAAAAGAGGATATAAAACATTAATTTTAAGTAATGGACTAGCAATTTTGTTGAGCATTATTCTTAGCGTGGGGTTGTAAAATACAGCTGTAGGGTTTTTGTTATATATTTACTCGTCATTTAAAATTACTTGCCCACATTGATGTGCCCTTTAACATTTTTAGTCTGCTGCAGGAATGGGAGAGGCTTGTCTCCTGTATGTTAAGAAGTCCAAGCCTGTTCCAGCATTATGAAAATATGACTATCTGAACATGAGAGCTTTCTTTTGTCCTGACATTTGGAAATTTAAATCCTAACAAAACAAATAACAAAATCTTTTAGCATCCTAAATTAGAGTCTAGCATACTAAATGCTGTCTAAACTAATGAGTTGATACAGAAGAGCTGTGTGATTTCTTATGCCTTGTCTTTAGTGTTTGGTATGTTAGAAAACAAGACTTAATGACTAGAAAGACATTTATATAATTCAGAATGTCTCATTGGTGGCATGCATATCCTGACTCTAAAGCTGAGATGAAATCAAGTTGAAACTCTGAAAAAAAAATCCCTCAGGAGTTTCTTTATAATTGCACTATGCTTAATATTAGCACTGTAGTACTTCCCCACTCCATTAGTTCCTTGTCTGCTGGGTTAATCCTACTTTTTTTTTTGACTGTACAAACAGTCCTTGAAGAAAATGGACCTATTTTCATATACAGGTTTAAGGGACCACTGTGTTTATTAAGGAGCAGTTTCTGATCAAAGGAATCTGTATGACCACTAAAGCCAGTTTGTTCTTTTAAAACCAGGGCCCGGTGTACAGTTAAATTACTCCAACTCCGCCTTCCTGATCTGGAGGAAGGGAAGCGTTGCAAGCCTGTTGCTATGGCCACGCAGCAGCAGGCTGAGCTGTTTGTGTGGCTGCCATCCTGCTCTATCAGCTGCTGCACGGTGAGTCCTTCCTTACACTTTGCTACATGATGAATGTTCTTATTAGAAACACTCTTTTGAATGCCAGTAAGAAATTGGTACCCTATTAAGGGTCTCCTCCCCCAACAACCCACGGGTTTCATTGCATAACCAAATTGATATGTCTCAAGTGGGATATCTAAAGGCATTTGTGGCTTTCATGTGAACGTTATTCTTTTTCCAAGTCAGACTAGCTACGGATTCCATTCTCTCTGAGCTGATCTTGGATGAAAGTTTGAGAAGTCTGGCAACTTCATCTTTCCTACTTTCTTCTTCTGACCGAATGAAATTTGGTATCCCCTAACATTTATTAACGTGCTTAGTGTAGAAGCATTTCAAACAATGATGAGCAAGATTTTTAAATTAAACACTGCAAAATCCTTTGAGGGCTAAACTGCAAGCACTTATGTTGAATTAAGTGAACAGTTCTCTGCCCTCCCATGGAATTAGAGTTGGTGCCTTGTAGTCTCAGAAAGCCACTATTTGCTACTACAGGTATATGCACTGAAGTGATTCCTTTTACATAAGAAACATGTTTTCTTTAATGCAAATAAAGTCAAAGAACTGCCTGTTGTACTGAAAGGGAAAAAAAAGAGTCTGTAAGAACTGTTAACTGGTTTTTTTTTTGGTTTGTTTTTTTTTTTAATACAATGTTTTCCCTGTATTGAAGCAATTCCTGAATACTATGTTTCTCTTTACATATTTCCTGTCTGGTAGAATTTAATTGAATTTGGAGGATGAAGAAGTCCAACCTAATGCATTTAGTTCCCCCAGTGAGCAGGGACAGAATAATCTCCCAGTTTCCCAAGGTAAGCATTCTCTGGTCACAGTATGTAGCACCTGCCACATTGAGCTATCTTTCCCTTGTGCTAATAGTATTTTAATTTAATGTACAGTTCTTCTAAAATTAAAAATTGTTTAAGGATTTCTTTGAAAGATGAATGTGACCTCATGTTCCCATTCATTGCTGATATCTTTAATAATAATCCTCATTTCTTCTTTTAACCTTTACAGAAAGTGACTCTTGCCACAAAAGTGTTATCTTATAATATCTCTCTTGTTATTTCAGGCAAACATTAACAATTACATGCTTAAAGAGTTCCTACACCAAGGGGAAATAAGAACCATAGCTCATATTAAAGATGCAAAAAGTCTGATTAGATCTATATGGAGGTTTTGGTTGGAGAATTTGAGGCAATTTTCATTTTCTGTTTGTGCAGGAGCCTTAGTCATACAG